CCCCAAAACCCCAAAACCCCAAAACCCCAAAACCCCAAATAAAAATTTTAAGATTGTTAAGAATAAAATAAATGGACAAGACTAAAGGTCGTGGAAGACAAAAGGGTGCTAGGAGTATTGGCAGGAGAATGTCTCAGAACAGAAAAATTAAGGGTAAAAATTGCATTTCTGACACTTTTCCCGCCGAAAATTGGTCTAGATTAGCTATGAGATGGTACCTTGGCAATATCTGCTCTTTCATGTTATGAAAAAATTGATATGGTGACAAAAATGACTATGTTTTATAGAAGGAAAGCCAAAAGCAAACATTCTAGGATATCATAACAAGAGTAAGTGTCTTCTATGAAGGATCTTGAGTCTTCATGCTTACTTCAGAGCTGCTTGCAACCATAAATTGGCCATATCTAATATTCTTATAGAACTTCTTGAAATCGTCAACCGAAATGATCATTTTCAGAATTGTGGATCATGAACCACAGATAGACTTAACTCAACAAGGAAGAAGAACAGTTGGATTTCCAGTGGCCAAAGAGGCATCAGGTTTTCAACAGCCAGGCCAAAGAGCCAGTCTCGGAACAAGATCATGAAGAGGCCGATGACTTCTAGAAATGTAGAGTTCTAGGCTCAACTTATAGACACACTTTGAAACTATGAAATCTGCTACCATCGACCATTTTCAAAAGAATTTGTCTCCTTTTGGGGAAGGTAAACTTTTGGGTAAATTTTAGTTAATGCTGAGCCTAATCTTGAGTACTTGAACACAGATGTGCGATCTAAGGGAGGAGAGACTGCAGAAACAGCTTGGAACAGAGGATACTATCTTAGCACTTCTATAGAGGGAGCCCAGTACAATTTCAATGCGTTTAGAACTCAGAATCAAAAGAGAGCTCAGCCAATGTCACCTACTTCTAAAGCAATGGAGCTTGAGTCAAACCCTACAGGCAGAGAAAGGAACATTAACAGTTATGTAAACTACGAGTTGCCTAAAGCAGACCAAGATATGCTCGAGCGAGATAGCACTTGGAGACAGAGTCAGCAGCTCGGAGAATTTAAGAATGGGAAAGCAAATTTTGGTTCACAGAGAAAGTAAGCTTGCTGAAATTTAAATTTTAGACCGGAGGAATCTGTCGCTCCACCTCAGAATGAAAGCATTGGTCAGGTCATAAACCCATGTCCTCTGCACAATAACCAAGAGATTGAGTACTTAGACAAGACTGAGAAGAGAGGACTTTGTAAAGATTGTGTAAAGGATGCAATCGAATCGCATCATGAGATTCTGAATGTCCCTGATGTAAAAAGTGATGTAAATTCACTTCTAGTTCAACTAGAGTCAAACACCTCTCAAATGCTTGCTAAGAAGACTGAAGCTATGCAGGTAAACAGGCAGAAGTTGCAGAGGATAGAAACTGACAGGAAAGGATTCATTGCTGAGCAGCAGAGAAAGATCAACGAACTTCATAACTATCTTGATGAGAAACTTCGGTGCATCGTAGCTGAATACAACAAAGCTGTAGAGCCAGATGTGATCAAAGTGAAGAACAATCTTGATAGATGTGAGGAGAAAGCACAAGAGCACAAGATTTTCATTTCTGAGATTCAGAACATGAGACAGACCTTTGACAAGAGGGCTATTCCTAACTTCATCGATAATGTGAGGAAATCTGCAAATATGCTGAATTATTACAACCATTTGAAGACAGTGAACTCTACTGAGACGCATACAATGGTATATCCAACCCATAAGGAAGATTACCACCCAGTTTTCGATTTGGATATTAATAAAGAGGTTGAAATATTAGCAAACAAGTTTAGAATTTTATCCACTCCTGGTGTTACATCTCAACAAAGTTATAAGAGAGAAGATTATGAAGAAGAATATGGCAATGAGGAAAAGAAGCATGGGTTCCCTCAAGCTCAGCCTACACAGCATAATGTGGGAGCCACACCTACTCAGAATGCAGGAGCACCTTTGAACCAGGAGAAAGAAGCATTGAGGACTGAAGAGAGACCTCAGCTGTTTAAGAGCGCAGATCCTGTATTTGGGCCAGATGGGGGCCAAGGCGAGGCTAATTTTCAGACCATGGACAACAAGCTGGTCTCAGTAATGTCTCCTATCAGGAAGAAATTAAGAATAGTAAGATGGCTCAGCACGAAGATTGGAGAATATGATATTGAGAATGACTTTTGGAACTCAGTTAATGCTCAAATCAAGAAGCCCTTCTTGCCCTTTTCAAGAACGGTGTATTTACCCAACCAGGATATGATTGTGATGGGTGGGCTCAATGATGAGATTCCAAATAAGCCAACTTTTAGCTCACTGGTTTTGAAGATAACTGAGGTCCCTGTTAATGTATACGACAGTCTGTATGTCACAAAGCAAATGAACAACATGATTATCAAGAGAGGATGCTTTACCGGGCTTTACCAATATGGCTTCGTCTTTGCATTTGGAGGACTGAATTACACTCATAAGGTGCTTAGATATTGTGAAAAGTATGATGTGGAGAACGACCAATGGGAGGAAATAGCCCCAATGGTAGAGCCAAGGAAAAACGCATCATCCTGCGCATTGACTTCTGATACAATTTATGTCTTTGGAGGCTCTAGCTGCCAGTCAGAAGTATCAGACAAAGGTTCCAATGCTTCAGATTCCATCGAACAATACTGTATTTCAACTGATACATGGACACTTTTGAAAATTAGACTCGGTATGAAACCTTGATAATACTATTTAGACTCAAAGATCTCATTTCAAGTGAGTTTCAAGCTATCAGAGACAAGAATAATCTTACTGGGAGGAAGCATCAAGCAAAACAGTAAGAAATCAGACACATACAAGAGCAACCAAGTGCTTGTATTTGATGCGATGGAGCCAAGTATCAAAAAGTGCAACAACTTAGCCAAGGACGTACTAAGCTTATACCCACCTTTCTACGATGATGGAAATCTGTACTTAGTAGACGAAGGTAAGTCTGGAGTTAACCTCTTCATAGATGAATCAAGTGAGAATCCATTAGTGGTGAGGTACAACATCAGCAATCTGATTAGATAATTCATGCAAATTCAACATTCATTTGCTTTCCTGGGGTTTTGGGGTTTTGGGGTTTTGGGGTTTTGGGGTTTTGGGG